TACGAAGGACTTGGAAGAAATGTTTGTTAAGTTATTCACTTTATTATTACCTGTTATGGTTAAGTTTTGAATTTATTATGTTGTTCTGGGTATTTTTTGTGGGGGGTCTTCTTAGTTTTTTTTTTTTTTTTTTTTTTAATTTTATTTTTCCCCCTTTCGGTTTTTTTCAGCTGAATTTTCCTTTTTAATTTGGTGTAACAATTAAAAACAATATTGTTCATGAAGGCTTCCAGTTTTTCTTTCTCTCTCCCCGTATAGCGTTTTAAAACGTACGTTCCCTTAGTACATTGGCGGCCTGTCTCTTGATGGCACCGTCAAGAGTGAGATAGGATAGGCCGTTGGTGTCCTTACCCCGGCTATGTTCAACGCAGATTCCCAAACCTAATCGCGATCTTCAGTGTCTCGGAGTGGATGTCTGTTGTCTGCAGGAGACCCGGTTTTTACATACAGCCTAAGAGGTTTTTCCTCTATTCAGCATATTTTGATGGACGCTCGAGAAGCGTTTCCTGGCTTGTGCGCAAGTCTTTGAATACAGCGTGTGCTCTTATGTTCGCGTACCCGGCGGGCAGGCTTTGTGTGCTGGATTTAAGTCCTTAGTTGAAAAAGAAAGAACTCACTATAACACTAAAAATCTTCCATCATGGTCGACAAAGGTCGTCCGATAAAGAATACCCTGTTTTGGACGGTGTCGAAGGCGAAACCATCTGATAAAAGATCCACGGAGTTGGATCTTCTAAACAAGACCAGTGTTGCAGATATGGTGGCCCAAAATGGCAAAAATAGAAATGATGGTGGCCGATAATGGATAGGTAAAAAAAAAGTATGGTGGCCCAAAACGGCCAAAGTAATAAATCAAACAAGCAGAATTCGACAGCCAATAATGGAGGCCTGAAGAAATGTCAAGTCAATTTAAGAAGAATGTTGCCGTCAGGGAATCGCCCACTTACTGGAAGTCCTCGCCGAAATGCATGATCAACATCGCGGAGTTCCTGGGGAGAGGCAGAAGTTACGCACATATTATCAAAGAAGACCCACAGGAATTAAAGAAAGTTGAGAAATGAATTGTGTCGGTCTTCCTGGTCGACAAGCGTACGCACAATATTTGTCACTCCACGAAATACACTGTCATAAAGTCTTTGACGTCCCTGGGGGTTAAACTCCAGAGAGTAATAATGAGCAAGGTTTTTTTTTTCACGTAGGACATACTGCTATCAACGCATGTCGATTACGTAGAAGCTTCCTGTCGTGATCTTATTAAAAAAAAAAGACATCATACCAAGAACCTAGAAATGCGAAAGACCAAGGTTGCATTTCAATAAATAATATAATAAATAAATAGTGTAAACAAATGTTATGGTAATTTACCCACGCACGCATGGACTCTCCCAGCTATAAATAGGAGCAGGTACTGCCTTTTGGAGAGGGGAGTTTCCAGCAGTCAACTCTGACAGTCGGAACGAACATTCTCGCTGTAATACTCTCGTTCGTATATGTTTGTATTACTGTTTCTGTTAATATATTTTTTAACTCAATTCCTCTCTTGTGTCTTTATTTCTACCCTTGGGAAAAACCGTCCTTTTAACACTCCGTTTTGTTGCGGGTACGGTCATCCATATCTTATATATATCTTAAGTTCCTGTTTTTTATCATAAATATATTACGCGCCTTTTCTATTCGTTCATCTGGTTTTCTTTCCGTTTTTCATCATTTTGTTACCTTCTGTTAATTTTCCGTCAAACCGACTTTTTTCTTCTCGGCATTCTCTTTTGATTTTCCATTTCTTTCCTGTTTAATATCATTATGTAGCTTTCTCAGTCAGAAGGCATTTACTGATTTCCGTCCTCTCAGTCCGAACATCAGGCAGATATTACTCTTTAATCTTAGGTAGAAAAAAGTAAATGCTTGCACATACACTATGTCAGACTATTGTGGCCTTGTTGAGGCCAGAAATAAAACACAGAATAGGATATGAGTTTAACAAATATATTAACGGAAAATCGGGGCACCTCGAGGTCGTGTAATGGTTAACATGCTTGCCGCGCTAGAACAATTACGACTGAGTAGAGAGTTCGATCCTCACTGGGTTCCCCATACTTTCGGCCTTGTGCCACATCCGAACTACTCTTAGAAAATCGCTATGTTAACGGAAAATCGGTAATACAATCATATACAAACGAGCAAGAATGTTAAGACCGAACTGTCAGAGCTGACTGCTGGAAGAAAAAACTACTACTCTAAAAAAAACAGTACCTACATTTATTTGTAACTTGGGAGAGTCCATCTGTGTATGGGTAATTTACCATGACACTCCCCTCCTAAGCATTAACTCCGCAGGAGTCTTAATATCTTTTTCTCTTTGGATTAACGACGATAAAATCCGCCATTTTCCTTTTCCTCTTTATACGGCATTCCTCCGGGGCCGCTTGAGGCATTTGCATGTCTAAAGTTTTCAAAAATGTTTTCAAATGTCGTATTAATCAACTAAGAAAGTTATACTTATATGTTATTAGAGAAATTCATTAAGTGAATGTCTATCTTTGTTTTAAAAAAATAAAGCATGTAGTCTAGAAGTAGTTTGGAGACAGCAGGTTACGCAAACAAAATGCAACATAAATTTCATATTTATAAATATTATATTCATAAATCTAAAATAATTACCGTAATTCCCCATGTATAATACGACTTCAGCCATAATACGAACCCCTGAAGTTGTGCTGAAAATGTGGGAAAATTCTACTCATGCATAATACGTACTCCTTGTTTGGTAATCAAACCCAATAAATTGTACAACTCCTACTCTTATCAAAAATGGTTTTAAACATAGAATAATAGTATTCTAATGTAATTTTATGATAATTCTTATTTTATTTTACATTTATAAGTATTGTCAGGTACATATGATTGTATTTGACATCTTTATGGGGTCGCAATCGCCGAATGTTAGTGTCAAATTGTCGTATGTTTGTGGTAAGTTGCAATTTTTTAAAAGATTTTTTGTAGCTGTGCATAATGCGCAACCCAAATTTTACTTATTATCTTTTAGAAAAATGCGTATTATACATGCGGAATTATGGTATATATAAATTTTATTTAGGCAAAGATTCTATATTTAGTAATTTTATTTTTATAAATGAATAGTGCATAAATTTTATATTTAAACAGTTCATATTCATAAATTTAATAAAATTAAAATTAAAACTTAATTATGAATAAATTTGATATCTA